ACATGGTATGCAAGCTTAAGAAGTCTATTTATGGGCTTAAGTAGGCATCGAAACAATGGTACCTAAAATTTGATGAGATTGTCACCTCTTTCGATTTCAAAGAGAATGTTGTTGATCAATGCATATACTTGAGGGTCGTTGGGAGTGAGTATATATTTCTTGTTCTTTATGTTGATAATATATTACTTGCTGCAAATGACATTAAGCTTTTGCTTGAGACAAAGTGCGTGTTGTCATCTCATTTTGATATGAAGGATCTTGGTGAAGCCTTTTATGTTTTGGGGATTCAGATTTTTCGCATTCTTGGATTGTCTTAGAAAACCTACATTGATCGAGTTTTGAGTAGGTTTAATATACATTCTTGTTCACCTGGAAAATCACCTATTGTGAAAGGTGGTAAATTTTCTAAGTGGCAATGCCCCTAAGGATGATAATGAGAGGACCCAATGCAAACAATTCCACATTCTTCAGTTGTGAGCAATTTGATGTATGCTCAAGTATGTATATGGCATGATATTGCTTATGTTGTTAGTGTAGTTGGAAGATACTTGAGTGATCATGGTTTGGCTCACTGGAAGGCTGCAAAGAAAGTACTTAGATACTTGCAAGGCACTAAAAATTTGATGCTTACATATCGGTGATCTGACATTCTTGATATAGTTGGATATTCTGATGCCGATTTTGCAGGTTATTTAGATGATAGGAGATCTACTTTTGGTTATGTTTTTATGATGGCATGAGGAGTTGTTTCTTGGAAAAGTGTCAAGCAGACAATTGTAGCTTCCTCTACAATGGAGGCAGAGTATGTGGCTTGTTATGAGGCTACTTCTCAGGCTATATGGTTACGAAACTTTATTTTGGGGCTATGTATTGTGATCATAATTTCAAAGTCGTTGAAGATATATTGTGACAATTCTACAGCTGTTGTTTTCTCTCAAAACACTAGGAGCTCTTCGCGTTCCAAGCATATTGATATTAAATATTTGTTTGTTGGAGAGAAAATAACCGAGTCTTATATTTGTATTGAGCATATTTCGACAGATCATATGTTAGCTGACCTACTAACTAAAGGTTTAGCTCCAAAATTGTTTTTGGAGCAAGTAACTCATTTGGGATCGTTAGAGTCTTATGTTGAATTTAGTTAGTGGGAGTTCTAGTTTAATATATTGTTTATGCTCATATTTTGTTTTGTATTTTAAATATAGCAATGTCGATGTATGCTCGAGTCAGGCGCATATGGACAAGGCAATGTTATATATATATATTGAGACATTTTGATTAGTCTCATGCCTGAGTCACGCGTATTTTGGACGAGGCAATATTTTATGTATATATTGAGACATTTTGATTATTCTTATGCAAGAGTCATGTGACAAGGTGTGTTATTTGTGAGAAATAATATGTGTTTGGTTTATGTCTAAGTC